CAACCACGGCACAACTCGGTGCGGCAAACAATGGACAATGTCCCACGCAAGATCCCGCGTTTCTTCAGCGGCCTTGAACGGAATGAAAACATTACATTTCTTTTTTGGAGCTATTTGATGACGTCAAAAAATACAATACCCGTTTTAATGGTCAAAATCGAGACAATTACTCACAAAAATGTTTCCCTTTAAGCATTACAAATAAATACTTTTAAATATTTAAATGACATTGTTTTTTTCAAACAAATCAATATTATTTGCTTACTTAAACGTCATATACAATGCTGAGATCACTACGGGGCTGTCTTAGAGTCTAGCTGCACTGGCAACCTTTAGGCTAGACTCCAGGGGTCATTATACCAGAACAACATGATTCTACCAGCCAGTAGTTCATTTTTCTACTAGATTGGTGCTACGCTCAGCATTTAGGTGCCAGATTCAGAAAAAAAGAGTAAGGCGTACCGATGAATAGGTGCCAGAAACAGCTAATTAAGGTCATTTTCCATGATTGGTGCTGGTATCCACTAAATAGGTGCTGAGGACCAGTTTTGGGGCGAGTCAGCTTTTAGGTGCCAGAAATAGCTTTTCTGGGACGCAATTAAATGGCGTCCTTTTTAATTTGTAATCCTCAGTGACCTGACTTCTGTGACCTCGATGTTAACTGTCATTGTGGCCAGCGGTGCAACGTGCTTTAACAATCGGGCCGTAGGCGTTTGTGCATGATGTGTAATGTGCAATGTGCATGCTGCTTGAAGTTGCCGAGGTGGAAAGGATTCAGAACCGTGCGTGACTATAACCCGATTGGTTGAGCCTCGGATGATAGTTACTGGATCGGGTGATAGGGCGTATCCGCCTAGGGTCAGGAAGTATATAAACTCGGAGAGGAATGCAAAGGGGACTCGACGTCTGCACGCCGAAAAGGCGCGCAACGCTGAGCGCTCATAGTCTCCACGCTACTGGCTTCTGGTTCGAGGTAAGTTCCGATTATGCTGGGATGATTAGCTCAATGCCCATCCCATAGTTGGGATAGGAGCACCGGGGAGGAGTGTTAGGTTAGCTTGCGCGCTGTTAGTATAGCGTTACTCGTTAGGTTACCTTCGCCTGAACCACCGCATCGTAACCAACCATTGCGTTGCAAAGTTTCCCAACCAATAGTTGATGTGGATATTTTGGTTTGACAGTGGTGCGGGTGGCAGACTGGTAAAAGGCTAGGAGACGTCATGTGCAGAACGTCATGTGGAGAGTCTACCATTGTCATGATTCAAAAGAATACAGATAAGGGGGCTATATGCTAACACAGACAGACCAAGTCTCCGCGACAATGGCATAACGTGCAATTGTATGTAGTGGGTCAATTTAAGATCTCCAGAGCCACCACGTGGCGCTACGGTCGGGGTAGGGCGAGTCCAAATCCCGAGGGAAGTGCAAGGTCAGTGTTTCGAAGTGAGTGTGAGTGTTTCGAAGTAGTGGGTCCTATTGTGCTACATGTCATTAACCACTCGCTTTCAACCGGTGTCGTGCCCTCTCTATGGAAACATGCCACGGTGGTTCCGATCTATAAGTCAGGAGACAAAACGTTGCCAGCCAACTTTCGGCCAGTCAGTGTTCTAAATGTAATCTCAAAACTAGCCGAGAAGATTGTAAATTTGCAAATTTTGAGCTATCTAAATAGTAACAACATTCTGACTCCTACCCAGTTCGCCTATCGCCCTGCCCACTCGACGGAGGATGCTGCGCTCTGTCTAGCCAGCCGTATAGCTCACAACACCGATCGTGGCATGGTCACATCGGTGACGTCACTGGACCTCAGTAAGGCGTTCGATTGTGTCCAGCGTGGTGCACTGATGTCCAAGCTAGGATGGTATGGGATATCGACCCATTGGCTGGGGAGCTATTTCGCGAATCGGACCCAGACCGTGAAGGGGGGAACCAGCATCGAGGAGGTGCCGTTTGGTGTGGTCCAAGGCGGAACTTTGGGTCCCACCATGTTCAACCTGTTCATGAATGACCTTGTGGGCCATATTCAGTTCGGCTGGCTATCTAGTTATGCGGACGACAGCCAGCTAGTGCATTGTGCTGGACCTGATAATGTGACGCAGCTCAAACGTCGCATAGAGTCCGACTTAGTTCAACTGTCTCGGTGGTTTCGCTGTAACGGGCTCAAAGTAAACCCCACCAAGACCGAGTTCCTGCTGGCTGGAACCCCAGCAAACACCGCAAGCGTATCAGATTTAGTTGTGAACTTTGATGGTGTGTCACTTCAGCACTCAGAAAGCATCAAGATCTTAGGTGTCCAATTCGACTGTCACTTAAACTGGGAAAAACAGGTTAGCTCAGTGGCACAGAAGTGTAGTGGTGCTATTGTTTCTATTCGGAAATTGAATTTACCTCGGGAGACAACCAAAATGTTGATTCAGGCGCTGGTGTTCCCCACACTCATGTACTGTCTTCCTGTCTGGGCCCCCAAATCAAAGACTCTCAGGAAACGGATCGAGAAGGTGTTAAATTTCGCAGTCAGAACTGTCACAGGGCTCCGTAAATTTGACCGCGTCACGGAAGCCCGATTGGAGCTAGGCTGGCCTACGTTCGACGCGATGATCGATCTGCGCGATGTGCAGCGAATCTATCATGTAATGCGGCAGAGGGACGCATCTCGGCAGCTGAGGGCACTCGTTGAGACTCGGTCACAGGTATCGCTGAGACCGACGCCGAGACCGCGCTCCACCGCTGATGATACTATGCTACAAATCCCTAGGTGTCGTCTGCAGTGCACAAAAATGTCGTTCCCTCACCGAGCCATTGCGACTTGGAACCGCCTGCCACCGGATGTGAGGCAGTCGAGGGCGGCCAAGTTCAGGCGAAGCATACGCAGTTGTTTGGCGTCCAAATGATCCCGATAGGTATGTCAGTGTGGCTGTGTGACCTCTTACAATGATCTGCTCGCTTCATATTTTAACTTACTTTGATTGTGCTTGACGCTGGAGTGTAAGTGCCTGTGTGGTTTCTCCAAAGATAAGCAATACATACATACATACATACAAGGTCACCGGTCATTGTGGGGGAAGGAGGGAGGGGGAGTGACGCGGTATCGCGGCGCATGGGGCGTGCGTAGCGCCGGGAGTGGGCCGCCCAGGGCCGCCCGCCACTGCGCCGAGGCTGAGGGGAGGGAATGATGGTTGCGGGTGCGTTCACTCCGGTATGGTGGTTTCCTGTTCATGTGGAACCGGCAAGAATGCGACTGAAGGGAATCATTATCTCAAACGGGCAAGCCAGAGGCAGCGTCAGTTTCAGCCAAAATGTTGAACAATGATAATTGAAATCTAGGACGTATTCATAGCATGCAACTATTCAGTCGATAGTTGCATGATGCTTTTCATGATGCATGATAAGGCTGTTCTAAACTGTTATTTGAGTAAGATATTTTTCATTTGGCACGTTCAGTTTTGGTGGGTTTTATCGGGTCGAAAAGAAGCAGGAAATAAAAAAAGAGTCGAAATGGCTCCAGACAAATGACCAAAAATATTTTCTTAAAAAATGAAACTTAGCTAAACATTTACTAGCGATAATTTTTACTTTTGGAGAGGATGTTGGGGAAATATATTGGAGAAAGATGTCCTCGTGCTTATCTGTGTCGCAGTAGAAGCCAGAAGGAAAGGTTTTGGTTCGTGTCCAGATAAAACCAGACCCGGGAGTGGGACTCGAACTCACGACATCGCATTCAGCTCACAGGTTACCCAACCTCAACGCTACGAGCACCTATCGGCCTGCGCAGCTTGCTCAGTGTTTCGACTTAAGTTCGGCCAAAGTGTCTGACGTCTATCAATGTCACGAGGCGAAACCCCGAAGTAAATGTCCATCCCGGTGGCTTGGTCGGTAGAGCGTCGGACTCCATGTGCCATGTGGTGAGAGCGCACGTCCCGGTTGCAAAAGTCCGGGTTCGAAACGCAACGTGTGCTTGACGTTTTTGAGCGGCTCCTGACGGGTATGGTTGTGGTTGGTGGCAGGCCGCTGCCGTCAGTGAGGGGACCGGCCGTGCGCGGCTATGTGCGCACGTTAAAATTTGGACTCTTAATTCTGCCATAGACCAGGAATTGCTTGATCGGAGGGTAGAGAGCAGGGTCAACGCAACAAGCTCAGCTTAGCGGGGACTTTGTCCATGTGATTCCTTTCTTTCAAAAGGTTCGGGCCAAATTTATATTAAAAAAGGGGGAGTCGAACCAGGTTGGGCCGGGTTAAACCCGGTTGGACCGGTGACTTACACGGCTTATTTCGGGTTAAATATTTTCATTAACTGATCTTATTGTTTTTAGCTTACACGCATAATAACTTTTAGCTTTTTAACTCCAGACTTCATGCACAAAAATGTGGCATTCGTCCACTTTTCCTCATCTTCACTTAGCGACTTGATTTGATCTTAAAGACCCATTTTACCAGCAAAAAAGAAAATCACCTGCGTGATAATTAGGAGGGCGCTCTACGCATGAAACGCCAGCCGGTCAAAAAACTGGCGAACGATGCGATCTTTCTACTGCTTGAATTATATTCAATGAAAATTTCAGGAGACATAAATAATCTTAATCCTTATAGCTACTGGGCGCCCGAAGCATTCGCTAGCATTCAATTGCCAGCTGCATTACTAACATCACATTTGCATTACTTTGGGTTCACCATAGTTGACAGTAGATTTGCCGGCCACAGCAAACCCATGCCTCATTATCTTTTCCTTCCAAGCAGTCAACTGCGAAGCTAACCAGCCGCCCGGCCCACCACCGCGATATGGAACAACGCTAGAGTGCGCCATTTGCCTGCGGCAGTGCCCCACCGCGCCGGGGCTGTTTGACAGGTCACCCGCACCGTGACCTCGCCACCCTCCCCCCTCCCCACCTCCCCACCGGGTCCAGCTCGGTAGTGACCTCTCCTTGAATATCACATGGACTCTAAGGCTCAACGCCATCTAGTTGCGTCTGGAGATCCTTACTAGATCCACTGTATGTACATACCTGCTCCGTTTCCATGTTCAGAAGGCTGATGAACTTCCTCAACTGGAGACCACCGCGCTGTCCGGTCCTAGAATCTCGCAAGCATCCGATCGGCAAATCCTCTTCCTGTCCGGGCCTCAGTTATCTTTCTCGACAGTTCACGTCGGTTTTCAGTTCACCACACTTCGGACCTAAATTTACTTGCACTTGCAAACGTGAGACTCAAGTGTCACATTCTAGATGTCGCCCTGCATGGTGCCTTCTGCCTATACTGCCTACCAGGCTCCAAAACCCACGCTCCGCGCCCGGCACTGCACCGCAAACACGGGCTCGCGCGCACAGGAGGATCGCTTCCCGGCCCCGCCTGGGCACGCCCGATCGTCTTCGGACGTTGTTCGGTGATCGGGGCACGCCGTGGGACCTCCCGCGGCGACCGCGCGGCGGGTGCGTGTCGATCGGCCTGCCATCTGGTGGCCAGGTGCTGCACTTCCCGGGGCGGAAGTGTTGGAATGAGGGAGGCGGACCCAGGCTAGGCATGGACACGATTAAATTACGGTGTGTAATGAATTTGTTTGTATTGGACATTCCGATGACCCACACCTATAGGTGGGGTCGAAACTCGAACGGACTCCCTCTCGATTTTTCACGAATGACTCGTTCAATTAAAAAGCGATCGATCGCAACGAAACTTAAAAAAAACTTTCATTTCAACGAAACTTTCAAGAAACTTTCAAAGCCCTGAAGTATCCAAATATTTTCACATCCTCTCTGGAAAGTAAATGACCCTAGCCCAAATGGTTTTTGGCCTGTGACCTTATTGTCGCCGTACTATTATGCCAAACCAAATAGCGATTAGAAGTATGTCCGCGCACATTAGGCATTTGTGCGTTTTCAGATAAGTTTCCAGATTCAATCTGGAGACCTATCTGGAAACCCTCAGCGACCTCAGCGTGACGCGGGTTACAACAGTCATGGCTGTCCAGTGTTCACAATGATATACATATATATCGATCTGCCCATGCCTCTCAGTTGTGCGTGTGCGCCGGTCTCCACAGTGATATATCGATCTGTCCATGCCCCTCAGTTATGCCCCCGGTCTCTGTTAGTGGTCCGTCTACTTCACAGTCTCAGTCTGTCAGCGACAGTGCACCGGTCAGAGCCCGGCACCCGTGACCCGCGCGGCGACACGCTTCTCACGGTGCAGGCGGTCACGTGACGCGCGCCCGTGACGTCACCGCGCAGAGGTGAGAGGTGCGCCATTCGACCGCCGTGTGGACGCCGCCTAACTCAGGCACCGGGACCCGTCTAATTGGGAGTGATTACAGGCTGGGGAACCTGCCGCGGACCGGAAAACGGGAATTAGTGGTGCTTTGAATTAGCTATGTATGTGGTGTGCTGAGGCCTCTTGCACCAAACTACCTACCTAGGTAAATTCCGATTTTACCTAAATTCTCTTGCACCAAACTACCTACCAAAAAACGCTACCGTGAAAATTTACCTAGAAATTCTACCGAGCGGCATCGGAACTTACCAGTTGTTAAAGTCCGACCGGCTGTTTTCCTCTTGCACCGAAAGCCGGAAAGAAGTACTCGCGGAGGAATTTTTGACGATTTGACGGTAAATCGGGCTTCCAAAATAACTAGCAAAACCTTAGGTAAAATGATTCAATTAGTGACAATAGGCACAATTCATGATAGTCCACGGGTACTTTTATGTAAATTAGGCATTACAAAATGTTTAGACAATGATAAATCAATGTTTTATGAGTGAATAATAATATAATTGACCAAATGCTCCATGGGTTCACAGAGGTGCTTCTCCGTACCAAGGCGATAAACTTCCGTAGCAGAACAGCCAGGTTGAAGACTCACTCGTTGCCATGGAAACGAAGCTTATTTGTTCAAGTAATTTAATATCAAAATAACTTCTATCGGTATTTACGTAAATGAAAAATGATTTCATAATACCAAAATGTATATTAACCCGCGCCCTGCTGGGGGGGGGGTGTTTGAACACCCCCCCTTGTGGTTTTTCGCGAATATCTCAAAAACGGCGGCGCGGAGCGCCGCCGTTTTTGGTACACCTTATAATACATCAATTCTACACATGTTGTGAAAATTTCAGACCAAGGTCATTCAAGGTCAGGTCACCAGGTCACTTGAAGTGACCTCACCTCATAAAAAATTTCAATGTCTGTCATAGCTACACCGAGTGACCGATCGCTTTGAAACTTTCAGCGATTGCTAAGAGCAATAGCATATACAAAATGTATATCTCAGAATTTTGATATCGATGACCTAAGGTCAGGTCAATTTTGCGACCTCCCCATTATAAGTCAATGGGAGAAAATTGAAATGCGCCTCTTTTGGATGAAAGACATTATACACACTCCCAAACACCGAATTACAAGTGGTTTAGACACACTGAACTTGAAAATGGTGTCCGTGACCCTTGTTTATGCCCTGAGGTCATCTTAGGTCACGAATGGTATCTAACAGTTTTTCGCAAATAACTTTTGATAGAGGCATGCTAGAGCGATGAAAACGCCTTAGATGTGTTCAGCTCGACGATACGGATCGACTGATATGCAACATGACCCTTTCCGGTCAGGTCATGACCTTGACCTGAGGTCAAATTTTCAAGTTGACCTTTCAAGGTCAAGTTATAGTTCATTCGATGCGTCTTGACGAGAGGAACACGATGCCGGTAAAAGTAAGCTCGTACATGGCTTGGGTCAAAAGTTATTGCAGAAAAACTGTTTTCGAAAATATCGGCTATTTTTGCAGTTCTTGCCCCCTGCAGGCAAAACCGTTGACCTTAGGTCAAATCTGAGAGGATACTCAGAAAGGGCGTTAATAGGGCTATCGAATGCGCTTTTCCGCGGCGCTGTAGCTCTATTGGTTCCCGAGTTATGCGTTGGCTTCTTGGAAATTTTCGACATTCGACCTGGAAATCGGCGAAATTTTGCCTTCAATGACCTCTGGTGACCTGACCTTTGACCTGAACAAAAAATTGACCGAAGTGATTTCGTCATTATTTTTTACGCTCTTTCGAACGCCGCCTTCCGCGTATCGCTACGTGGCCCAGGAGCCGAGTTACAAGGGGGGGTGTTCAAACACCCCCCCCAGCAGGGCGTGGAAATCCAGGACCCCCAGCAGCGCGCGGGTTAATAAAAACAATATCCATTTAATTGTTTTCTTTAGTTACTATTTGTTTGCGCCCACAAATAATTCGTCGCCAAACAGCCAATCAAAACAAATCCTAAAAACGCGAGCTGTCAACTTTACCTAGGTAGGTAGGTAGGATGGTGCAAGAGAAGCTACCGCCGTAGGTAGTTTTACTAGGTAGGTATTTTGCCGATTCTACCTAGCTAGGTATTTTGGTGCAAGAGGCCTCAGGTTGTGAGATAATAGTCCAACAGTGCTCGGACGTAGCATTGAATGAAAATATATAAATTTTAAGGTCTCTTAGGAATGCGTATTGTGCATCCAATGGCGCTTTTCGAGTTATTGTTGCTTTTGTAAAAAAAAACTGCATAGGCAGGTACCACCCCGTGAGACGAACCCTGCTTATTATAAACCAATGCATATTTCCGTGCAAGATTTTTCTCGGAAAGAAAATAATTACCTAATTTACTGTTAATCGCTGACATAATACGTTGGTCTGCAGTGTCGCAAAGAATCAAAATGCTTTCTTGTTGCCAGTCCTGACCGAGGACAGGACCAGGTGAGGGAGGGGGCGGGGGCGTGGAGGGACGGGGGAGCGGTCAGCCAGCTGCGCTGATAAGGCGGCCTGCTATCGGAGGTATCGGTCGCGTTTCGAGCGGCCGGCCGGCGCGGCGCCCAGTATCGGTGCTGACGGGGTATCGTCGCGGCGCGAGCTCCCCGGGCCGCGGCCTGTGGTAACCGTCACGTGGTGGCAGTCCGTCGACCAGTCCCCGGTGCTGCTGTGGCTACCTGGAGACGTGTTTACCTGCACATGTACAGATTGCAGGTGTCCTGTGAGTAGCCCGAAACGTGGGAGGGCGCAGTGTACATACAGCGTTGAAGGGGAGACAAATCAATTAGTATCTATAGATTTGTTTTAGGCATGGCTATAGTATGCTCACTTTACGTTCACAAATGTTCAGGTTAGCCTTAATCAATTTTTTGAAGTTTTAACGTTATCATAGGCATGAGTACCTATAGCTATTCAGTATTCAGCCTATCGCTTCCTCATAATTTTTATTTTTATCATGCCTCCTGAAATTGAAAAAAAGCGTGAGGCACATGTGAACTTGTGTGGGTGAGTGCAGCCGATGCATACTGTGGCAGGATGTATGGTACGCGCGCTCTACTTAAAAAAAAATGACTCCTGAAATTAACGTTTTCAGTTTTGCATGTCACTCATGAGCGATGGTGGTATGTTGCAGATGCTGACTTGAGCTTCATTTGCCTACCCCAGTACCGGAACTGCCCAGGCTATACATGTGACGAAACAATGCAATAATGTGACACAGAAACTGGATGAAGACAGAGCCATGAAGCAATTGAAAATAGCCTGAACTATGATAATGTTCGGCACAATGAGTTTCCTGCTCAACTCCCGGTTCGTGGGCCGCTACATCTCTCTGCTGCTGCTCGTCTGCTGTGTGGCAGCCACGGTATTTCTCCTGTACCGTCCTGCCTCCGCCCCAGCGGTGCCACCCCCCGAGCTGCCGTGGCTCGGGACTTCCGGTGACGCCGCCTGCCGTCTTCCGCCGCTGCCCCTCAACCCGCCCGAGCTGCAGCCTCTGTTCCACCACGTTCCGCCACTCGTCTGTGACCCTGAGCCTGCCTGGGTCACCGTGCTCGGCAGCAACGTGAACATCAGCGCCACAGCCCGGCGAGCTCACGGACGTGTCACCTGCCAGTTCACCGACCTGCTGCTCAAGGACGACATGTGGGCCGTCCAGGGGTTCCGCTCCAACTCGGAGGAGGGATACACTCTGAAGGAGTCTGACTTTGTGAGTGTCAGCTGCACCGCTGAGGATGGAGGGACGTGGAATAATATTGTTGCCGGAGTTCGCAAGAACGCGGCACCGCACGCGCTGCCGCTGTCGGACTTGCCCAAGGACCACCTTCCCGTGAACATTCTCATCTGGGGCTTCGACTCGTTGTCACGAAACACGTTCATGCGCAAGCTGCCACGCACGTACGCCTTCCTGCGTGATGAGCTGCACGCCACTGTCCTGCGCGGCTACAACATCGTGGGGGACGGCACGCCGCAGGCCCTGATCCCCATTCTAACTGGGCGGACCGAACGGGAGCTGCCGGACACCCGTCGGCGGACCTGGGGCTCACAGATGGTCAACGTGTACCCGTTCCTCTGGAAGGACTTCCAGAGTGACGGCTACGTGACCGCCTTCAACGAGGACCAACCGGACATCGGCACCTTCCAGTATCGGCTGCGTGGCTTCAACCCTCAGCCGACGACGCACTACATGCGGACCTTCTTTCTGGCGGCCAGCAGGACGTACGGCAACAACGCGCCGTACTGCCTCCGCGACACGCCGCGACACAAAGTGATGTCCGACTTTGTCGAGAACATGTACGAGGCTTACCCAGATCGAGCCAAGTTCATCTTTAGCTTCCACTGTGAGCTGTCACACGATGACATCAATCAGATCGAGGTGGCAGACGCAGACATGGAGGCGTTCTTGCAGCGAATGAAGAGCAAGGGACACCTGGACAATACTGTGCTGATCGTGATGGCAGACCACGGTCACCGCTTCACGGCAGTGCGTTCCACTCAGCAGGGCAAGCTGGAGGAGCGCCTGCCGTTCTTCTCGTGGACATTTCCGACGTGGGTGCGGCAGCGCTACCCGAATGTCATAGCAGCGCTGGAAGAAAATGTGGAGCGGCTCACGACGCCGTTCGACCAGTACCAGACGCTGTCGCACCTGCGACACTGGCCGGACGGTCCTCCCCCTGACCCCGCCAACCGCGCCGTCAGCCTGCTGGTGCCTGGCACGGCTGCTCGCGGCTGCGCGGCCGCCGGCGTGGAGGCTCACTGGTGCGCCTGCCTGCGCTGGCTTCCCGTGTCCATCAACGACTCTTCAGTGGTCGCGGCCGCGCGCGCCTTCGAGGAGTACGTGCTGGCGGAGCAGGAGCGCGAGGCTCCGGGCGCGTGCGCGCCGCTGGAGGTGCTGGCGGTGGAGCGGGCCGAGTTGCTGGCGCCGCAGCAGGATGTGCTGCGCTTCGTCAGCTCTAAGGACGCGGACGGTTTCGTGCCGGACCTGAGCGGCTCCTCGGCCACTGAGCAGACGCTGCAGCTGCGGCTGCTGGCCGCTCCCGCCGACCGGACCTTCGAGGTGACCGTGGTGGTCGAGGGGGGCGGCACGGTTCGAGTGAGACACGAAGACATCAGCCGCCTGGACCGCTACGGTAGACAGGCGCGCTGTGTCGAACAGCGCATGGATCACATGCGGAAACTGTGCTACTGTCGAGACGAGCCGGTGGAAGCCGGCCCCGCCGCGCCGGCCGGGAGGCGCAGTGATATCTTGCCTCGCGATGAACAGGCTCAAGTGTAACACGAACAAAAAAGTGACCGAATTACCAGTGGCGCTGATTTTATACTGATCTTTTTTGTAGTGTGAAATATGTAAGTCACCGCTCGCATTGTGTTTTGCTGAGATTTTTACACGTACCGTCTCGTACTCCGGAGACCATGAAAAATGCTCATTAGATAACATACTTCACTGAGTAAATAATTTATTCAGTGAATTATGTATATCTTTTAAAAGACCACTCTTGGAAACTCAAGAAGTAGCATGATCACTCAAGCAAGCTCAAAAAGCTGTTATGATGATTCATATTTCATTGTGGATTTTGCTTTCTTGTTGATAATTCTTTTTTTCACTTTTGAAAGTAGGCTTTGTGATAGAATGTAAAGGATGAGCGTTCGAGGAAGACATGGAATAACAGATGCTACCGGTTGGTGAACACTAAGTACCAATTTAGTGTTATGGTCTGGTTGAAAAAGAACAGCTGATAGGGAAGTTCTTGAAATGCATTGTCACCGAAATATTGAGTGGATCTTAGTCGAACGTTGTTATGGTAGAAGTATAAGTGTCCAAACTAACCCGTGCGATAAAGTGCGCGAGGCAATGATGAATTAATTACGATTTTTGTTTAGTCTATAAGCCGCCACCTGTTTAGTCTAACGACCACACACTTATGTAGATCTCGAACACGTCTCTGCAGTTCCCTTTTGACAAAAAAAAAAAATGATCCATGGTAACCATTAAAGTTACAAAACGAAAGAGTTACGAACTTTGTTTTTGTGCGCACATTAGACATTACTGTTGGCGGGTAGCACAGGATATCGGTCGATTCGGAGAGGACTCCACCTCCCCCTGCCTCCCCGGTTCATAAGGCAGGGCACCAGAGGTCGATTGATTGACTTCCATTGAGAGGCATCGAGTGGCACGGCGCGGCCGTAACAAGATTACAATGGGACGAGTTCTGTTATTGCCCTCGGTCATCGGCGTCAGTAGGCATTTAATACATACATTTCAGAGTCGCAGCAAGAGGCGATCATTCAGACAACCTGGCCTGGATCTTAATCATGCAGATGCCGTTGGAATATGCATGAATGGATATTGCACGCAAGTGCAATATCCAATCTCCATATTAGACTTATTTGAAAGGACATGAACTAACTGTCGACTACCATGGCCCCTGACGATTTAGGTATAAATGACAACGTCGCTAATGAAATCTCATGCGATGCTTCTTCACTGTCGATATGTGAGATAATGCGCGCTAAATGATTAGAATCGTTCTTTATTCTCTCTAACCAGACGATAACCGCCTGTAAGGCATGCTTTTATCGACGTACAAACCGTAACAAACTACAAAGCAAGCAAACAAAGCAAACAAAGCAAGCATCATATCGAGTTGTCGGATGATGTCAAGTGCAGCAGTGCAATGCGAGCACATAGTTCCACTCGGGACGCCGCCCGAGATCGTCCGATTCAGTTCGATGTTTGACGGGCGATATGGCAGGTGTCGTGTAGTGATTTCGTCATCAGTCACGCCACTTCCGTCTCGGTCAGCGATAGGTAAGCAACAGAGACTGGTGAGGTGGGCAATCGGAGCAGAGGTCACAGAGGTGGAGAGGTCACGTCACAAAATGATGATGGACGGAGATGGGGATAGAAATGTACATAGTATTTGAATTGTTTGGTGCATCCTCGGAGAAGGCTTAGTGAGTGAGGTTAGGCTAGGTTGGCCTGGGCTAAGTTTACTTGTGTTTAACCCGGTGCTGGTGGTTTGAGTTTTCCATGTGCCGGGGTGAGGAAGGTCGCGCTGACCCCGTTTTACTCGACCCCTGGGCCACGTAGCGAAACGTGGTAACTGGTAAGCAGCATTCGAAAGAGCGTGAAAAAAATGATAAAGAAAACACCCAATCATTTTAGGTCAATTGAAAAGTCAGCTCATTAGAGAGGGGCTGGTCAAATTTAGCCTGTTTCAACACATTCTGGTAATAACTTACTTAACCCGCGCGGGGCTGGGGTCTCCAGCCGAACGCGCGGGCCTGGGAGGGGGGTAAATTTTACCCCCCCCCCTGTTATCTCCCGAACTAATGGTCCGATTTGGAAAATTCAAACGCCAATCGAAAGATCTCATCACGAACAACTAAAAACATGTACTTAATTTAAAGTTTGAGGTCAAGGTCAAGGTCAGGTCAAGGGTACAAATTGCAAGTTCCTACAGTATCGGCCTTGCACCGTAGTTGCCGAAGAATGGAGTCATGGACTGAGACTGATTGCCCAAAACGTGTTCTTAGGCTACCAAGACAATATTCGTTGCATACAATATCATTCAGAGTTCAAGGTCAAGGTCAGGTCAGGTCAGGTCAGGTCACCAAAAGCAAAATATAGAAAAGGGCATGTGCGACACATGTTTTTATGGGTCATTTTATTCATAGAATTCAATAGGCACACGCAATAGGTGATATGGACCACCTCTGGATGAATTTCAGGTCGAGGTCAGGTCAAGGTCAGGTCAAGTGAGGTCAAATTTCGAAGTTGGTTGTTAAGGCCTAAAAAGGTGTCTATCTGATGCTGTTTTTCACGGCAAATCGAATGGTGCTATTTTTGTTTCCGTACGAGGTCTAGAACTTCAAAAAAAATCATTTTTCAATTTTTTTGGGTGTCGTGACGTCATAAAATGTTTAATAACTCCCACATTTTTGAACCGATTCTTCTAAAAATTGGTATGTAGGTGCACATAGACCACTTCTCTGACATATATTCCGGTTTTTTCGATACACTCAAAATTTTGGATTTTATAATTGTTTTCCCAAAAAAGTCAGTTTTTTGGAAAAATTTTGGTCAAAATCCAAAATTTTCAAAAAAAAGAAACGACATAGCCATTTCATAGACAAAGTAGAATTACATATAACCTTTTTTGTTACGTCTTGATTCCTTTAAAAGTGAAGATGCTAGCGGCGTTTGAAATTTTGCCGGTTTTGAGGCGAAAATGGCGAACATGACGTCACTAAAACGTCAATTTCTCAAAAAAAATCCGACGGATTTCGCTCAAATTTTCAGGGAACGTGTCAAATTGATGTAAGAAAAGGTACTGAAAGTTTGTCGGCGCTGCGCGCCGCCGTTTTTGAGAAATTGCAAAAATTCGCGAGGGGGGTAAAATTTCCCCCCAGCCCCGCGCGGGTTAACAAAGGTACGACATTTATTTTGCCAGCATCGTGTCTCTCTCGTTGAGACGCGTCGGATGAACAATACCTACATTGACGTTAACCCATTAGATACGCTTGGCAGCTTTTGCTGCCACAGGACAAAATAGCGCCGCATTCCTAAACGTTGCGGTGAACTTTCAAACTTCTCACCCGTATGGAAGACCAAAACAATGCACGTCATGTGCGCTCCGAATTATTGATCGAGAAAGCGAACGTGCTGAGAAATAAACAATTTATCGCGGGGGTGCAAGGGGCGCGCGATTGCGGTCGTGCGGCGGACACCAAAAAAGTCAGTTGCGAAGGTGGTGTGAATAAATGTTACCTTTTTATTATTGATTATTGTAAAGAAATGTGTGATTATCAATGGGAAGAGCTTAGGTGCGACATCAATTTCTCTAAGCATCGCCAATCGTGCGTTATATTTAAGTGGCAGCAAAAGCTGCCAACCGTATCTTACGTAGTCAAAAATGGAGCAGTTACGTCCTTTTTGCTATGCCATTCGTGAGTGAGCAACAATGTCTGGCTTTATGGCTCATAGTGTAATGCCCCATTTCTTTGCCTTTCCAAAAATGGTCATTACCGGGGTTTTTGCTATTTATTCTTGTCTGCAGAGCATTGCATACCAACACACTACCAGGCGTGTAATGTATTCCGCCATTGCTGAAGCAGCCAGCAGGGACGTTGAACGGAGTGGTGCGGACAAACTGTCATCAGAGGCGCCATCCCTCAAGGGGCGCGCCGTCGCCCAAGGGAAGGTGGTGCCGTGGCTCTATAGATGAACGGGAAGAGGGGCGCCTGCTAGGCCTGTTGGGGCGCCTTTGAGGCCTAACTATGGGGTCGCCCCGCCCCCCGCCCCACTCCCCCCCCATGCAAAAGAGGGGCGCCTACGAAGGTCATGGCCATAATGGCGCATCTGCACGAAAGAGGGGCGCCTGCATGCCGAAGAGGGGCGCCTATGAAGCCCAATGGGGCGCCTCTACGAGAAAGAGGGACACCTGTAAGGTCATAGGGGTGCATGTAATGTCCATAGGGCACCTTTACGCGAAAGAGGGGCGCATTGCATATGAAAAAGAGGCGCATTGCACAAGAAAGAGGGGCGCCTCTGAGACATATAGGGGCGCCTTTGATGACCAAATGGGCGCTTACATGGGAAAGAGGGGTGCCTATTAAGCTTAAAGGGACGTCCTCCATGTGAAAAAGGGGCGCCTGGGACTTGAGCGCCCTTCCGAGCTGTCCGTGGTCGCCGGAAAGTTTGTATATGTCCAGCTCCTGCTGCACTATCCTCCAAAATAATTCGATTGGATTTAGGCCAGGACTGTTCCTAGCCAAGTGTCCTTCCCCCGGATATCGGACAGCCGGTCCTGGCACCGCCTAGTTCCGGAAGATCGATGAGATGGGGTACCGTCCAGCATGAAAATGTTGTCCGACCTGCGGGACACCATGCGCCGTTGGAGCACGGGGTAGTGGACTTTATAATGCCAAATGCACGCTTTTCAGTATGTTTTCTGCTAGGACATCGTGATCGTTCGACATACCATTGCGGCGAGAATTTTTCGCAGAAGTCTGTCGGAACTTGGGCCGCGTTTTCAGCCCATGCTCGTTTTGGGGGTCTGTGTGGTGAATCCATTGAAACGGAGACTCGTCGCCGAACTAGACCCGCTTCTACATACCTACTCCGTTTCCACTCTTCTACCGGCCAGATTCTCCGTTTCGTGCAAATCTGAGGGCTCTGGGCTTGCTGATTTTCGTTATTTTGGCCGCACCAATAGTCAAGCGCCTTCAGTCCAAGGGCATTCCTCCCTTATCAATGGACAACATTATCCGAGTGATCATTATGAATAAGACTTCAGATTCTCCGCAGAACGGTCAGACTTCCCAGGTGCTTTCTTCATGACGATCTTGGCGACGGTTGAGACGCAGAAGGACCATGCTGATTGGGGCTATGCGTGACGCTACTTGTCCCTAAACTTCTTCCACCAGCGCTTGTTGGTGAAAACGGGGGCTTAGAAGTGTGAGGCAGCGTCCTTCCATGTGTTGCCACTTGCCAGCTTGGAGCATGCCAACAGCGCAACTACGAACCTCTCAACTGTAAAGCTAAACCTTCATGCTTAAACGTTCAGTAAATGCGCCGTTCAATGGTTAAACAATTACCCATGCCAGTGACCCCCATTGGTAAAGGTCAGCTTTTCAGATAATCTCCGCTTCAGAGAAAGACTCAGGGACACAATTCGTTGAAAGGAACGCGATATTTAGGAGCACATTGGAAACACGCCAAGTTGTTTTAAATAAACGGTCGACGGAAGTCATCAAAACCTTCGTCGCATTCTATATAAGATTTTGTGGGGAGGGGAAGCGCGTGTGAGCTGAAATAATGAGAGAAAGAACATGATCTCTCAGAACGAGCTGAACTGTTAGCTGAGGTCTGGATTTTGAGTTCATTATTCTTGAGAATTATTGGCTACGGTCGTTACTTGCAGGCTACGGTCGAAT